GAGGCGGGGCAGCTTCGGGTGCTGGCGGTACAGCTGGCTCCCCTCCCTCCTGTCTCCCCGCTGCACTGGCCCAGCAGGGCTTTATGTCAAGACTCACCCTTGGCTTTGCTGTGTGAAATAAGCAGCACCATGCCGAGGGGAGGGATGTTAAACCCCCCCTCCCCCAGCTGTACTCTTCACCCCCAAGTTTAGAAAACGTGGTGCATGGCAGGTGCCGGTTGTGGGTGGGGAGGACCCACACTCGGGTCAGGGCAGGGACATAAAGCCAGACCTCAGAGAACATTTCAGTTGTGTACTGAAAACAGGAAATTCAGGAACATCCAGGCTTAAAGGATATGCAATTGCCTTAATTGTAAAGCAATTGTAATGAAATTCTGCAGAAAAAGATCTTCAGACATTAAACTGTCCAAAACACAGGTGAAAACTGTGTACTGTACATAGAGTTAGATCAAAAACTAGCTTAAGTTTCAACATTCAGCAAGTCAGATTTTCAAGAGCTGTTTTGAAATGTTTAATGTGCTTTAAGTTTTAGATTTACTTTACAAGGCAATTTGTCTCACTGTCATCAATATCTCAATACAAAAATCTTGCAATGCTTTATTTGCTAAAAAACTACAACATTAAAATTGGGGTTAGGTAGTTCTTTCCTTTTGCCAGCTGTTTTGTTATGAGGGGTGTCCCATAGTCCACTGCTAGAGGTTGCTGTACTTAAACAATAAGTTACACAAGTTCTGTACATAATTACAGTCATAGTAGAGTATGCAGCTGTATAATACACCACAGTAAAACACCATGAGGGCAAAGAACTACTATATATGAAAGCTTTTTGTTGAAGATTTTATAGTTTATTTGACCAAGAGTCAATTTGATATCCTCATATCAGGAGACTGACATCCATCTTTCTTAGGCACTGATCCAGGCAGAATTGCCTTGCAGAAAAACCTGGCTCTTTTGCCAAACTCATGCATTATTAAAAAAATTTTATGTAGCTCAAAGTCTTTAACAATGCTATAAAAATAATGATTTGCTAGTCTCGTGCTCACCTTCAAATACATGAAGTATTTGAATAATTTCACATTCTCTTTCTGAATTAGGTTCACTGCAGTATTAGATCAGGCAGAAACTTCAAAACCTTAATTAGTCAAGTGTGACTCAACCAACTGGATATTTCAGCTTGAACAGAAAAGTCTGTCTAAATACAACTCTAAAAAAGTAGTTTGTACCACAGCAGATCAAGCTAACTAACACTGAATATCTTCTTCATGGTGGAAAAAAAAAAAAATCACTATCATAAGTTTTAGCACAGGATATTTGGGGAAAACATATTTTAAGACCATGCTTTGTAAACATTTCTACAAATCATTCAGAGACTATTGGCTTTGGAATGACTTTTCAAATACTTGGCATTATGCAGGGCGGTAATTAACAGCTAATGCTATGAAAACAAGCAACTTTAACATGAAGTTACGACAACAAGAGCAGTGAAGGCTCCTGCATCAAGTAGTTAAAACTGGATATTAATTTATATTTTATTATAAAGTTTATAGCATTACAGAGTCCAGCATGGCACAATAAGTAACCTTGTTAGAGTTGCAGTATTTGTTTTTGCTTGGTAGGAAAAAGCTGAACAGCAGCATAATTGTTGTTATATTGAATCTGGGATTGGAATGAATTTGTTTCTTCTGAATAGGGATGAGTCAGTGATTTAAAATAAAAAGGCTGCATTTTTAAATCTCAAATATGTGCAAAGTTCCTTTCAGTACAGTAGAGAACATGGTAGAGATGTGTGCAATCTTGAAAGTTACATCCCAACCCAGATACTGCCAATATATTGCAAAAAATCACATGGAGGGTGAACCCCAAACGGTTACTCACGACTTTCAGCATTATTTCCAAGAGTCCTCCTCACAGCTGGTGTTCTCTCCCCACCCCGGTTTATGTCCTTTTATGCAGTGCATCAAGTACTGACATTCATAATTATTGTAAAAAAACATTGGTCCATGATAGTTCTAATAAGTTTCCTTCAGGAATTCCAGTAAACTCTCCATCCTAAGACATTGGATTATGTTACATTGGACTTATGAAAGCAAATGCAATCTGAGAGATGAAGGTCTGTGAAGATTAGTATCTCCATTTTCCTAAGGTCTTCAACAGCTTTTAAAAACACAGAAAATGGATTCCAATGTTATTATTCGGGAAGTCCCTTGATTTTGGTGCTTTAGCCTTGATGTGATTTTCTGTTTTTACATGTTGTAGGCAACATAAATAGGATCCAATTGGTCAGCTAAAAATCCGTCTCTCAAGTGCATTCGTTGTTTCTCACCACGGGAATTGATAGGAATAACACCGGGGTCCACAATGACTACAACACCTACTATGAGATAATGCTCTTCCAGAACCACATTTGTTACCAGGGCAACCAGGTCCAACGCTTCTTGTTCTGAGCCTTCTAATTCCACAACCACCACCAGCAAGTTGGTCCATGTAAACACAGCGCTGTCAACATGATAGAAATATTAGTGGTGAGAAAAAACCCCCACATAGTCAAAGGAAGCTAGTTATCAAAGAAAGACTCACTGGAAATAAATTTTGTAAGTACTTGAACAATATAATAAATGAGAACAAGTGATATAATGGTAATGTGAAAATATTCGTAAATCAAGAGGTGTTAAAGCTGTAACTTCTTGGGATATTCTCTGCCACTTGTTTTTCAATTGTCTATGTACAAAATATAAGTAGGTCTTTTTCTCTTATATGTACACAATCATGTATTTAAGAGTTGTTTGCACTTATGTACTGAAATGGGAACCATTAAGATTTCGCATTCAGCGTGTGCATACTTGATATTAATGTACTTGTGTAAATCTTCAGAGATTATTAAAGGAAAGACAAAACCTCCCAAAGATTACAAAAGTAAACACTACCACTTTGAGACGGAAGAGGACCTACAGCCAAATGGCATATATCATCCATTAGGACCAAATGAGAATAATATATGTTAGAACACACCGTTCAAGAAATCCTTGAGATGTGTTTACCACATCCAAATGCATACATTCTGACACAGCCAGGGAAGTCAACGACACAACTTGCAAGTGCTCTGCTGCCTCGTTCATGCCCTGCCCTCCCTGTCTTTCAGATTATGAAGATCAAACTCTGATAAAGGGGTGGGCTTTTTTTTTTTTTTTTTTGGTGGCGGGGGGAGGGGGAAGAGGGGG